TTATTTTACCTTAAAAGCTTTTTTGTGATAAGAAGGTCTCTATTAGATTGCCTATGTATACAGTTACTTTATCTATTAGAAATAATATCTATTTAAAATATTTTTATTAAAGATAGGCAGCTCTTGATTATTTTTAATGTTATTTTATAAAAAAAAAACTGTAATATAATTGACACAGTGAAGGATTTAGTACGTTTTCTTATCTATCTATCCTATTTAAGAGCTGCGCTCTTGTCGGTGGAGCTCTTGCCACTCACTACGATTTTCAGCGAGTCTCTTCACCTCTTGATACGACTCGACACCAACTCCTTCCTTGATCTGCCTGATGTAACTATGTCTCGGTCTCCCTCTTCCACTCCTTTCTTTTCCTTTAAGTTTTCTTGTAACTGAAAATTGTAAACGAACTGCCAACACGCCTGATGGAAAGTGGTAACCCTTGCCTGAAGACTTCAATAATATCATTAATATCACACAATTATAATAGCCGTGTGGTCCCGGCATAGAATGGACCACCCCTTCCTTTCCCATTATTGTCGTAAAAGGCAACTAAGAGAACAGAATGGTCAAGAGATGAGTAGCAGTCCTCCCATCTTAAAACATCATCAAAGCCTAACTGCGGTTGCCAACACGCAAGCCAAGCATGGTAACTACTTGAAAAACCACGTAAGAGGAAGATCTATGGTCAACAGTGGACAGTTAACAGCTGCATGATCGTCAATACATTAATATAATAACCCCAAAGAAAAGCCATGACCAGAATTTTCTTTTTATTTGGTGTTTTACTCCGATGCAAGTCCTTTAGCCATATTTCTCATATGTTGCCATTCCTGGAGATTAAAGTCTTCTAATAACCTAAGCGTTCGAGAGAGGAATTTTGGAGGAGAGGAGGAGGAGGCGTGAATTTACAGGGTACCGAGGAATAACACTTGAGTCCTCAGGAATGGCAACGCATGGGGGGTGTAATGAGTGAAACAGTATACTCTGTTATGTCCATGATACTGCTCATGTCTATAGGCGACGGTTACCACTTTCCGTCAGGTGGACCGTCAGCTTGTTTGCCATTCTAAGTTGTATAAAAAAAAGGAAACCTAGAAATCTCTTTTGAAACTGCACTGTACACGACTATTTAGGTTCTAGTGTGTTAGGATGAATTCCCTATCTATGGCAAATAGTACGCTGGTGAAAGGTGGCTATTATCCACAGTAACCTTTCACCATCATACCGCTCGTCATCTTGAAATATCCTATAAAATACAGTTCATTTGACAATACTTATTTATTTATTTCGGTTAGTCGTAAGAACTCCCGACACGTGCTGAGTAAGAGCGGTTTCAGAGATGTTTTCTCCCACAAACACTCAGGTTATGGAATGAGATCCCTGCCTAGGTTTTCCTAAGAGACTACAGCATGGGGTTCTTCAAAAGGGGGGTAAAGAGGTTTCTTCAGGGTTGGCAACGCACGCGTAATACCTCTGGTATTGCAGGCGTTCATAGGCTACGGTAACCGCTTACCATCAGGTGGGCCATATGCTTGTTTGTCACCTCAGTGGTATAAAAAAAAGAGCCTTTTTAGTGACTTGAATTTGTTATCACTGTTTTTTTTTAATGGAATGGTAACCCCGCCTGCGCTATCGGTATACACAGGCGGGGCACCAGTGAGAGATGATTGGTGAGGATGAAAAGGCAGGTCAGTTAGTTCATCGTGAAGAATTCAACGATAAATTAATCACGATTGTTTCCAGGGGGATCCGCGTGGAAGTCGACCTGATAAGGTATATTGATAGCGATGGAGACTAACCTCCCCATTACTAACAATTCCTTCCCCCCTGTTTTTACTGTTAGCTGCTTCAAAAACCCTGCTTAATGGTTTTTTTCAGAAAATTTCTCTAAGGAATTAATTCTTTTGAGTAAAAATAATAGTATATGTGTATTGACAAGGGTTCTCACTGCGCACTATAAATTAAACAAGCATATAGCCCAACTAGACTTATGCCCAAGTGTTTGCAGATTTTGTCACAGTGAGGAAGAAACGCCGCAGCACTGAATGTGTGGCTGTAGCCCACTCATACATAAACGATATATCTCCTTTGGAAAACACACTCTATAGCCTAAGGATAAAAGAATAACTATCTATAGCCTAAAGATAAAAAAACATCGCTATACAGAAACATCCTAAAATTCCTATCATTGATAGAAATTAGCAGCGAACTTTAAAAAAGGGCGAGCACGAAAGATCATGGAAAGATCGCTGTGTCACAGGTTTTTCTGGAAAAAGCCCGTTTTCTATAATAATAATAGTTTTTTTTTTGTCTTTCTTCCTTTAGTTTATTTATTTAGAAGCACAATCTAAAAATGTAAACATTCAGACTATACTAGCTATAGGAATATACCTAACAATCATACCTGCCCATTAAACTTTTATACCCACCTTGCATTCGGCTTCATAAAGTAACGTCTTTTATTTCTGCGCGTTACCGCCACCAAACCACTGCTATATTCGTAAACGGGCCTTAACTGCTATATCGAAATCCACATTTGAATGTATATATACCCTTAATGGTAGGTGGCTGGATTATAGTGTAAGATACGAGAGGTAGCGATTTAATGTTACAATATTATTAACATAATAATCCTTAGCGATCTCTGCTGAATATGAAAGGTATAATCTAATTGTGATTAAATCGAAAGTTAATCGAATAAACGTCAACTACATGATCGTTGGCCGCCTGGGTATGGCATAGAATAGGTCATCCCGTCCTTTCGCGTGGGTGTCGTAAGAGCCGACTAAAGCGAGGCAGCAACGTCCCTCTTAAAACATCTCTGAAGCCTGACTGCGGTTGCCAATCCGTCTGTCAAGCATGGCAACTACTGGCAAAACCCCCCAAGGGGTAGGCTTTTATTCAGCAGTGGATACTTAAAGGTTAATATGATGATAATTATGACGTGATCGTTAACATTTAACTTCTGTCTCCCTTGTACATGTGGATAAGCTTACATAAGCTGGTCAGGTGACCTTTTTAGCACTTATAAAAAATATTATTAAGCCTTGTGCAGTCCTTATAAAAAAATCTTTCAACATTGTATTTAATAATACAAGAAAAAATTTGGAACGTCATATTTCGTAGAACGTGGATTTCTTTAAAGAAAAAATTAGCATTTTAACTTAAATAATTGACATGTTTATTTTTAAATATTACGTCAATAATATAATATTCTAACAAATTATCTAACGATTGAGATTTGTTAATTTTTTTAGATTGATTTTTAAACTTTTTTTTTTACAACGTAGAATGGCAAACAAACTGACTGCCCACCTAATGGGAAGTGGTAACCGTCGCCTATAGACATGAGCAGTACCATGGACATACTAGAGTATACTGTTTCGCCCATGATACCCCCCCATGCGTTGCCATTCCTGAGGACTCTGTACCCTGTATATTCACGCCATATCTCACCTTTAAAACCGAAACACAGCCGTGCAAACACAACACGGTTGAAACACGAATGGGACAGAGGTACCCAAGCAAACGACTTTTGTAGATAATCTCCCTCTGGTGCATTAATAATATAATGAAATAATAATAAGTCATCATATTTTTATTTTATTACTTCTTATTTATTATAAATTTCACGTCGCTTCCTTCTGTACTTTGCACCACAATAAAGGTCCAGTATAAATGGCCCTCTGCACAGTTTTCAGCGAACATTTGAATGGAAACGACTTTATTCAGATAACAACCACGATTTTATCTTGATATATTTCATACACAGATTATAGGCATTCGCTGTGATTGCGTTTTTTGCCTCCAAACGGCACGTCTATGAATGAAATTCCAATCTATTCCAATAACTTGTTTCCATTTTACAAAAATACAAATTATAAATATTTTACATTACAATTATTTACATTTTGAAATAAAATTGTACTCAAATTGAAAAAAAAAAAATACCAAACGTAATACGAAACAATAAAAACGTGGAAAATAATTTATAATTTCAAGACAACACTAGACGCAGAAGTAATTTTCAATTAGAAATAGATACCTAAATACATCAGTATCAATGTATTAAGTTCCCATGTGGTCCCAGTATAGCATAGGCCACCTCTTTCTTTCCCACTAATACCCAAAGTATCATAAGAGACGACTAAAGGAAGGCAAGGGAGGGGCAGCAGCGTCCCTCTTAAAACATCTCCAAAGCCTAACTGCGGTTTCCAATCTGTCTGCCAAGTATGGCAACTACTGGCAAAACTCCCCTAGGAGGCTTATGTTCAGCAGTGGACAGTTAACGGCTGAAATAATAATAATAATATGGGATTGAATTAATCAATATGTCTCAATGAAACAGGCTATGTATTATAGCATGTATAAAACGACCTCAGTATGAAGGAATTTCGTTTTTGATGTAAAATCATAAAAATAAATAATGGAATGTTATCTGTATTGAAATCTTAATTATTGATAAATAACAATTATTAATAAAACTCTGCTAAGAGCATATCGAGCAACCAATATGCAGTTCCGTAGTTATAAGATTTTTAAGCGATTTACAAAAAAGTTCTGAATTTACTTATTCTCTTTTCATTATGTTACACTATTACTTTGCCAAATCTTATATAATTTTCATAATTCTTATTTCAAACTAAAGACTTTAATCTCATACATACATATCTGTCACGGAGAACTAACGGAGTTGTAAGGTAACAAATATAAAAATACCCCGAATTGAAAACCTCCTTGTTTTTGAAGTCGGTTGCAAATTACGATTTCTATAACCATCGAATAAACCAAACAAGTAAACGGATGGCACAATTATAATGATTCTATTTTTAGTATTTGAGAAATAAGTACTAGGGAACTCTAAAAACAATTTTTAAACGACACAAACATATATTTTATCTGTACTTACATAATTTGACGCCAAGCCATCAAAGAAAATCAAAACTGTTTATCTTTACGCGATAAAAACAACTGTATTGTAATTATATCGCTAGTATGTGATACGCAAATTTTTATAACAAATTGACAGTCTGATTTTGTAGTGGTAATAAAAATGTCACTTGTGTTGTATAAAGTGGACAGAAGTCCTCCGGTCAGAGCAGTTCTTATGACAATTGAGATACTAGAACTTAAATATAAATCTATAGAAGTCAACACTCTGGCTGGAGAGCATTTGAAACCGGAATATCTAGAAAAGAACCCTATGCACACAGTGCCTTTGCTTGAAGACGGAAAATTTTCTCTCGCTGATAGTCATGCCATCATCACGTACTTAGTATCTAAATATGGAGCAGATAAGCGAGAAGATTTGTATCCTAATGACTTGGGCATAAGAGCTACTATAAACCAACGTTTGTATTTCGATGCAGGTGTATTGTTCCCAAAATTAATGGCCATCTCCAGACCAATGTTCAGAAAAGAAACGACTGGACCGAGTCCACAGCAAGTTGAAGAAATAGAAGAGACATATGGTATATTGGAGAGTTATCTTAGGCAGTCTAAATTCTTAGCTGGAAAACATTTGAGTTTAGCCGACATATCTATAGTGGCCACGATATCAACATATGAAATATTAATTCCTATAACTAATAAATATCCACGATTGTTGGAATGGCTTAATATATTGAAAAATTGTGATTTTTATAAGAAAGCAAACGTACCAGGCTTGTTACAAATAAAAGAAATACTGGAGCAACTGAGTCAAGGTATATGAAAATATTTATATATGAAGATGGATGAAATTAGATATAAGTATTGTTTTTTTTTTTTCGTTTACATTTTTATTACAGTTTTATAAATTTCATAAAGGTTTCTAAATTCAAGTTTATATTATACTGTATTTACCATTCAGTTTGCTATGAACTAAGGAAGTTTGATCACCCAACTGACGCAGATCCTGGGATTATTATGAGAGTTTCTTCCAGATGCTCGTGGCAATCCAAACCATCATTTGACTTTCTAGAATATTCTGGTTTGGACTTAACACACTCTTACACGTAATAGTCCAACCATTAAGCCAAGTACAGAAATAAGGCTATACTAAATAACTATTAATCTCTGAATAATCTAGAAATATAAATGTCGTTAACAATATACACAAAATAATAAAATATTTTTTTGCTTTACTACTAAAATTATTTACCCAGACATGTCATGCAAAAATAAACTTAAATTAATAATCATATATATTGTATTTTACAATACAGCTGTATCAATACATGTTGTTCAAGTATATAATAATGATAAGATACCATTCTTATCAAGTATACGTGGTGCGTTATAAATTGTTACTCTATGAAGTAACAGTCAGTTTGTAGCCAACAACAAGATGCCACTAGTGTTACATAAAACAGACGGGAGCCCTCCTGTCAGGGCTGTTCTTATGACTATTGACATTCTTAAACTGAAAGTGGAGTTTGTTGAAGTCAATACATTGGCTGGAGAAACCCGGAGACCGGAATATGTTGCAAAAAATCCTATGCATACAGTACCGCTACTTGAAGATGGGAATTTTACACTAGCTGACAGCCACGCGATTATTACATACTTGGTGTCCAAATATGGTGGTGAAAAACGAGCGGAACTGTATCCTAACGACTTCAGTACAAGAGCTACAATCGATCAGCGTTTATACTTTGACGCTGCTGTGCTATTCCCAAGATTAATTTCCATCTTAAGGCCAGTATTTAGAGATAAAGCGACGGGACCGACTGCACAGCAAATTGAAGACGTCAAAGAAGGTTATGGAATGCTTGAGAGATACCTTCAAAAGTCTGAGTATCTAGTTGGAAGCACTATAACCTTGGCAGATATATCCTTAGCTGCAACAGTGTCAACGCTCAATGTGATAGTACCATTAACGGAAGAGTTTCCGAAAACTATTCAATGGTTGAACAATTTGAGAGGAACTGATTTTTACAAGAAAGCCAATGAACCAGGATTGACGAAGATTACTGAATTCTACAATCTGTCGATAAAGAATAATTCATCATAATTGAAACAAACTTAAGTTTCAATAAAAATAATTGCAAATTGCTTTTTTGTTTTAATTTTGTTTTATGCAACGTAGAATGGCAAACGAGCTGACAGCCCATCTAGTGGAAAGTGGTAATCGTCGCCTATAGACATGAACAGTACCAACATTATACTGTGTCGCCCGTGATACTCTTCAAGTGTTCCCATTCCCGAAGACTAAGGTGTTATGTCTCAACCCAATTCTTTTTAAAGTTTTTTTTTTTTTTAAATAATTCAACTAAATATGTTTTATTTTTGTATGATGGCTTAAAACAGAATTTGTGTGGAAATATGAACTAAACCAATATTTGATAATGGACAATACATGAATTATAATGAAAACAGCTACATAAATATATTTCTTTTAACAAGAACTAGATATATAAAGGTGGGTGAAAATTATCATTGGTTTAAGAAAATTTATATTTTTTTTTTTATACAGTATTAGACCTTTTTAGTACTATTATTAACTATTACGGTATATTACTTACTTACTAATATATAATAAAAGTGTATCAAGACAGAGTATATATTATGGGAGATATTTAAGAAAAATTATTACTTGATAAAAGTAATAGATGTCAAAACAATAATGTACAGATTTTTTTTTCTGTATTTGTTTGTACGTTTCTTCTGGAATCACGTAAAAACTGCTGCATCAATTTGAATGTGATTTTCACAATTATATTCTCTATGAAGATCTAATTTAAAAACTGGTATTTGTTTTAATTTGATATGCCATCTTATGTACATAATTATACGCATTCAGTAAATCGTATAGTCATATTTAATATTTGTTTTACATAGTGCATAAAGATAAGAATAATATAAGGCAAAAAATAACAGTGTATACAGAGCGACCTTTGTTCTTATTTTCTCTGCGTGTACCGTGAGATAGCGTTAATTTACAACACTAATTGACGACTCAGTGAACTTTGTAACACATACAACGCCATCTATTAACAATAATCCGAAGTGGTGTTACGTCCCATACAAAGTTGCCTATTTTTAATTTTTCGACTTTTCACCAGAACTTTATAGTTCTTTCAACTATTTTTTTTTCTTTAAACCACCTCAATATTATAACGCTTAAAAATATTTTTAAACCAGTTGAACCATTTTTGAGTTTGAATGAAACTGACAAACAGCAAGTTATTTATTATTATTATTCTATTATTAACATATATTGTTGCACTGCTGGACAATCTCCAGTTGAAAATTACAAAATATTAATTTTGATATTGGAAATAAAAAAAATCCTAAATATTATAATATTATTTGAATAAATTAATAATTTTATTGTAAATTTATATATTTCATAAATAATATTTATTCATTCATTCATACTTCACTGAAATAAAGTATTTATAATTTATCTAAATATACAAAAAGGAAAACCAGAGGTATTTGTCAACTGTCACCGTTGTGGTGAATGTTACTTGATGATTGAGAAAAATCATAAAAAAAATCTCAATCTATCACCGTCTTAAGAATTAATGAAATTATCAAGTATTTTTCAAGTCACTATAGTACATGATATTTTGGTAACTTTAATTGGACCTTATTTTTGACCGAATTTGTTATTGATTCCAAAGGATTTTCCAATGTACCTATTTCATAATAATCCCTGAATCCAGAAATCCCTGTAGAAATATTCATACTTCTAAATTTAGTCACTTGAACTGCACATAAACCATATTGAATTTGTTACTTACATTAAAATATTATTATTTATACTTTATTGTACACAAAAAAATATAAAACAATATATATTATTATATAATAAATAAAGATGTACAACAGATGAACTTAACTCTGTAAGAGTTCTCTTCCAGCAAACCCTGAGTGAAACATATGAAATATATAAATTAATATTATAAACTAATGTTCATACATCAAAAGGTCCCAATAAACGATGCAAATTTAACAAGAACATAGACTAAAACACAGAAAACGTATTCATTCCCAAAGGTTTCATTCGATGGTGGACCAATATTTTATCCTAATTACTTCCATCCCAAATGACCATTCAAACAGCCGGACTCGAACCCGTGACCGTTCCTTAATTAATTTAACCGTGAACATTGACAAACGGACCCAGAAATAAATCTACTGCAAATATAATTAGGAAGCTCTCGCTCAACAGGGATGTTTGGTTAGGGGAGGATACCATTAATGTAAGGTTAGCGGGGGTGAGGCGACGATATTGCATATAAGAATTAGTAATGTAACAGTTTCCACATCTAAACTTAGAAAAGTATATTGCAACAAAAAGTATATTATAAACGTTTATTAAACTAACACACCAATAGATGTCACTAATTATATTTTTTTTATTTAACACAAAAACAACTTAATGTGATAATTGGTCACTAAATAAAATTAGTATAATTACAAGATATACTAGATGGCGCTAGAATCGAGACTTGTGGTTTTTGTTGATTATTTTATAATTAAAGATAATTAGAAGTGAAATTTCTAAATTGACGCGCAGCTTTTATTATTATGTACAAATGTAAAGTGACGTAATCTTTTTTCTGATTGAATTATAACCCATACAATAGCAATTTCCTTATAAAATTGCACAATACAATAAAATAAAGACAAATATTGTGATAAACTATTACTATATCATTAAAAAATAAATAATTTACTGCACTATAAGGCAACAAACAAACTCATTCATTTATAATATTATTAAGGATAAACAAAAGGACCAATAACAACAAGTTTTCCATCATTAGAGTTACGATTTTGTCTCGCGAAGGGTGAGCACCAGAGACATTCGTCACGGCCGATGGAGCACGCGACATGGTATTGATTATTGTAACCGATGACCGAATCGCACTAAGGACGGATTCACATTGTTATCTTCGAAATAATGATACCTTATTTAATCTATAATGCTTTAAAGTATTAGAAACCGTAATAGGACCGACCTAATTTAAAATATTCATTCAGCCATTTCCCCATTGCATAACCATGACTATAATGAACCATTAATGCTCCGCTCCTATACGCAAGGATCCCCCCATAAAGGGATGGTATTAGCATATTGTCTAATACGCTGGCCTTGTTGACCAGAAGGCTAGATAATTGAGATTTTGTATCGAGCTCTCCTACATAAAGCAAACCCTAATCTTACCACGAATGTTTTTTTTTAAATAAATGAAAATGGAATGGTAACCCTGCCTGCACTATCGGTATACACTGACGGGACACCAGTGAGAGAATATAGGTAGAAAAGAAAGTAGGCCAATTGGTCCATTGTGAGGAATTTACCGAGAATAAACTTTAATGGTTCCCAGGGGATACCGTGTAGAAGTCGACCAGATAGGGTATAGCAACGGCCGCTAGTCCCTGTTACTGACAATCTCTCTCCTTTCCACGAAATAGTTGCCAGCATTTGCATTTGAGATTCGTTCTAAATAAATGTTTAGCTTCTGAATTAGATATATTGACATATAATAATAATAACCTTTATTTGAGACTGTATATTACAAAATTGCTTAACAATGGTCCCCATATGGATCGAGCCTGTATCTGAATAACCTATTAAACACATATAACTTGTTACACTTACTATACCTTATAACTTATACACTATTATAAATTTTATATTCCTTTTACAGTAACTATATAATAGTTTGTAATAGTTTGTGTGTATGTGTGTGTGTGTGTGTGCGTGTGCGTGTACGTGCGTGCGTGCGTGCGTGCGTGTGCGTGTGCGTATGCGTGTTACTTTCGCTTGCGTAAACCGTTAGTTATTATAATATAATGATTGCTTACGATTTTTTTTAACAATAGAATTTTATTTCTTGCCAGTACTGGATCGTAATTTGACCTTGACAGCTTCGAAACAGGTATTCAAATAAATTGTTAATACGAAAAGAAGATCATCTGTTCAAATATTAATTATATTATTTTCATTTGTTTCTGAATAGATATTGAATTTAATTAATGTGAGAAATTCTAGACTTGTCGACTAATTCTGCTTTATTGCTTTCCGCACTAAGATTTATAAACTTCATTACAAAGTTATCTATAGGACAGAATTGGCCTACATTTTAGGCATCGAGCACCAAGTTTGTAACAATAGTTTCACTTAATTTATGCTCAAATTTTCCTTAATATTAATCAATGTCTATGTTATTTCCTAATTTAATATTATAAAAATAATATACTTTCTATATTAATAAATTATTCATTATATTTGGGTACATATTATTTGTTCTTATTTCTTTATCAACTAATATTATATTAACATTTTTCATTACATAATGGCAAATCAATATTTCCATTATAATTTTTAATTTACAAAATAAATGATTATATTTATTTATTCTTTATTAGCCACATTACAAGAAATGTCTGGTACAAAAGGCGAACTTAATACTACATAGTATTCTCTCCCAGTCAACCTTTGGCAAAACAGAAATGTAATTATGCGGTGAAAAATTGAAAATTGTTACAAATAAACGATAACAATAATAAAAAACAACATTTGAAACATGAAATAAAAGTAACATTAAATAAATTAATTATAATACATCTAAATATAATTATTATAAAAAAGGTAAGCTGTTTTACAACATAATTATATATGAAGCGATGTAGTTACAATATAGAAGTGAAATTTTGGGAAACTAAAGATCTTCATAACAATGTCATTAGGATGGGCAAAGGTAGGGTTGCCTTTGATGCTGCAAGCTGTCATGGGCTCATCTTCAGGCGATTTACATGAATACTTTCCACCCTCATTGTAGTTTACACTCTGTATAGTTATACTAAATATGATTAATATTGTAAACCTGAAAATGGGTTTATTTTTTTAAGTGCATTCGTAACTTTAGCTTTCCGAAGTGTGGCAACGTCGCATTTATTTTAATTTTTTTAATATTTTTGATATTAGGAAACTAAAAATCACTGGCAAATCTACTATTAAAAATTTTGCACCTACTTCATTGTATTGTACTGTATCGTAAAATCTTTATTGTACATAATTTATATTGGACACATTA